TTCTTCGTTTGAACTAATTACAGAACATTTTCCTATTACCTTTTAAAAATATGCACTCATATTCCATTTTAGTACACACCCACACACAACCCCCCCACCCCTTAATATTGGGGATTCTCTTCAAATGCAAAATAAATTAAACTCAAAATCGCATTCACTTCCAATTTTATTTTTGATGCAATTTTAGTTATTAAACAGAACTGATCATTTCAAATCCTTTTGCTTATGCACACCTTAGTTATCTTAAATGGTTGAAAGTGAAATGTTCTTACCATATTTGCATGGTTTAGTTTGATTGCTCTGTAAGCAAGTCAATCAGTTGTTTGAATCATACTAAACATATTCATCTGGGTCTATCCAATACCTTTAGTTTCATAAGCAGCTTAAATAGGCTCCGATTTGTGTTTTATGAAGTAAGAATGGGAAGTGCAGGACCCCACTCCAGAAAAAAGTTTTCTTCATGGAATGCCAGAATGTAAATTCTTGAGTCCATTCAGAGCCATTTATGAAGAAAATTTAAAATAATATTAATAATAAATAAGTCAATGAAAGAAAAAAAATATACAAATTCTTAGTGCTTAATGTCTCAAACCAACTGTTGGAAAGAATTTTCTTTCCCAAAGAGATTTAAAAATCTTGGGCTTTCCATTCCACTTCAATGGGCATTGTCATTTATATCTGACTTCAAGCCAAATACAGCAATAAAGCTTGATTGCTGCTGAAATTACACTGAGGTACCTGACCCCTGAACTTTACAAAAAAGCAAGATAATTGACTGAGGAGGATGTTTAATTTTGTAGCTTAAATGTTAATGTTAGGTCAAAGGAAAAATTCTTATTTACCTTTGAAATCTCTCTAAAAGTCACTAAATAGAAAATATTTAACAGCTCTCCTTTTTCTTCTAGGGATGTCATGATTCCTGATGAAACATGGATAATGACACATCAGGGTTTCTGCTTTTGGAATTTTCAGCGATTTGGGAACTACAAATTATGTACATAACTTTACTACTGATAGTCTATCTCATGATGGTAACAGGAAACCTTCTCATCATCACTGCTGTTGTTTGTGACCACCACCTTCACACTCCCATGTACTTCTTCCTGATGAATTTAGCCACGCAAGACATTGGTTCAGTTTCAGTCATTCTCCCCAAAGCTGTTTGGAATTCTCTGATGAGTATAAAGACTATTTCTTATTCTGGATGTGTTGCCCAAGTCCTCTTGTGTTTCTTTTTCTGGACTTGCAATTTTTCCCTCCTTACCATTATGGCCTATGATCGGTATGTTGCCATTTGCAGACCTTTACAATATGAAATGGTAATGAACAGGAAGGTTTGCACCAAAATGGTTGGCAGCGTGTGGAGTGCCGGCTTTCTTAATGCTTCATTACACACTATTGGAACTTTTCTTACTCATTTCTGCTCTAATGTGATCCATCAGTTTTATTGTGAAACCCCACAGTTACTTAAGCTTGCCTGCTCAGATTCATATGTAATTGAAAATGGAAGTTTAATATTTAGTACTACGTTAGTATTTGGTTGTTTTGTCTTCATCATTGCTACATACGTACAGATCCTCTCTGCTGTTTTAAGAATCCCTTCTGTTCAGGGTAGGAAAAAGGCCTTCTCCACTTGCCTACCACATCTGACTGTCATTTCCATATTTTTGTTTACTGCTGCCTTTGCTTATCTAAGAGACGTATCTGACAGTCCATCCCACCTTGATTTCATAATTACAATAATGTATTCCATTATTCCCCCCCTGATGAATCCATTAATCTACAGCATGAGAAACAGGGACATCAAAGTTGCTCTTTCAAGACTTTTTGGTCAGAGGTCATGTCATTTTAAAAAAGTGTGAATTGGATTCTTTTGGATATTTTTGTATTTGATCAGGAAAGAGAAAAATAGACATATGATGTGTGCCTTATGTAACCATGCCCCACTTGTCAGGACCATATCTTAGGTTAGAAAGTTTATTTTACTGACTTATGAGATTGGCCTCACCTGTGCTAAGACTGAGGCTGTGATGGTCCATTGAGCCAACAGTGACCCCTGGTGAGTGTGGCAAAAGTCCCTATAGTTTTCTTGGCAACATTATTGAAATTGACTTTCCAATTCCTTCCTTCATTTCCCCATCTTATATGGGTAGTCTCCTTCAAGTCAAGTTCAATTCCAGGCAAATTCATGCAGGGCTACCTTTAGAGACTTGTACACCCTGGGCACATTTATATTTATTGGCTCCCCATAGTGCATCATAAGAAATAAGAGATTTTTATTTCTTGAGCTATTTTTTGGAATAATTCAGCTTCAAAGTGCAGTAATTATAAGCATAACAATAGCAATATTTACATAATTATAATAGATTTTCGGATATTCAAATTGTGATTTTACTGGTATTTTCATACTTTTACTTTAAAAATATTGCAGGCTCTTTGGGAGGTTATATCTGGTCTACCTTCCAAGTATAATGGCCAAAACAGTTCACTTAGTTTTCTGAGACAAGCCATGATTGAGTAGGGTGTGCCTCCCAGTTTGTTAATGGCTTAACTATTTGAAAGCCTTTCTTCAGAAAATATCTATTTGTTTTTACTTTTGTCAGGGCATGTAAAATATACTGAAAAGGAATGTAAAATATCAACCCTGTCAATATGAGAGTTGATTGCAAAAACTAAATTGTTAGGGGATGCTAAATTAGCCTATAATTATACTGATATACACCAAGTCTAGGGAAAAGTTTGGTTCTATTAACATTTCAGTATATGGAAAATAGAGTCATTTGATTCAATTCACTTTAAGCATGAGGTATTCTATGCTGGAAATACAGCTTTGGTTAAATCTGAAAGTTTTTCTCATTGATTTACATGGGGAAGCAGACAGATGCAACAGTTTAAAATAGATTTTGATAGAACTGGAATGAAGTTCCCCTACCTTATAAAAATGAAGACTGACAGATTTGTGCATAGATTTATGTACTGGGTGCCTTTAAAATCTTTCTTAAAGACAATGTTAAGATTCTAGTCCATTGTGTTTATATGTGTATATGCATACATGTGCATATATGAAGACTTTTGGAGATGATGGAAGGACAGCAGTCAATTAATATTTGTTTATAAAAATCTATTAAAGATGAAGGATGCAAAACTATTGTCTTTTATTGTTCACACATTCCTGTTT